TGTTACTTAAGAGATTCTGACAATATACACAAAGCAACTCCATCTTAAAAACTGACGAAAGAAAATCATGTCACATCTGATAGTGTTCTGATGTGTTCCGTTACTTGTGAATTTCTACATGGATTCTTCACACACAAAATAAATTATTATAAGCAGCAATGGCCTTATTCAAGATGCCACAAATAAGGTAACAGAAACATGTCAAAATTGTACAGTTTGTGCTGAAGTGTAACTATTCTACAGCAGCTGAAAGGGTTGAAGCTAACTTTGTGCATCCGAGGTATGTTATAAATTCTTAGTAATAGCAACTCCAGTATTTGACCTATGGTTTCAGAGCAGTTTGGAAAAGTATTTTCACACAGTACATGCCCAATTTTTTTTTTAAACTATCCTTTGCATTTCTTTTAGTCATGTAAAAGTTTGTAACCAGAGACTATAGACCAATCACTCATCCAAAGTAAGCAGCAACGTCAGCTGGAACACCAGATTAAACTGCTAAAATATTTTCTTTCATTCATTTGTATGGCAGTGCTGTATAAAAGTTCCAACTGAAAGTGAGGACCCACGTTGTTTTATTTTGTAGAAAAGCAGAGTGCAGTGTATGGCGAGAGCACAGAGAGCATACAGAGATTGCACACAGTAAAAATTTGACCTGAGAAGAGTTTGGGGAAGAAGGAGTAGGAGTAAAGGTGTTTATTTTCTGTTATGGTTAAAATAAAAATACATGGAATTTTCCTTCAATTCCTCTGACTTTGCTTTTTATTTGAGGAGAAGAGTGTGAGAAGCTTGATTTTAGTCTGGACTAGCCTAAATGAGCTGTATTATTTTGAGATTCTTTTACTTTCAGGCTCTGTAATTTGGTAGTCTATGATTAGAGAATTTTGCTGAATCATACCCTAGAAATAGCAAACATTCCCTTGACAAACAGCATCAAAATCTTTATTGACACCATGAAGCACTTTTCTTAAGCAGGTAATTTAACTTCTCAGAATAATATCCACAATGTTGGACAGCAATATCAACATGCACACAATGGGTAATTCAACATTTAGGATGAATTCAGAGCTGCTGTAGTGGGTTTAACTTCTTTGAAGTCAAATGATTTGCACATGCCTGTGTCATGGGCAAGTGTAATCTCTTCAGCTTTCCAAAGCTGGGTTGCTGAAGATACTAAGGCAACTGTTTTGGAAACATACTTCCTAATCATAGCATTCCTTTTCCAGTAAGGATGTGGCTTTGATCAATTATTTACTTGACCTCAAACATATTTACACTTTTCAAAACCTTTCTTTGTTAAGTTTGAGCCCAAACTGCACGTCCTTGGTACTGGCATCTGCAGAAAGTCTGAGAAAAGTGACTGCTGCAATTCTGTGCAGCTCTGCAAGATGAAACAACATGAAGGAAACAATCATGATATTTGAATTTTCTGTCTCCTTTTCTTTTCTGAGTGCTCACTGCATTAAAATACCCTCACCAGCAACCCCCCTGAAGTTATCAAATGTCTCAGCTTTGTTTCAGTGTTTAACCAGCAGTAAAATATGTTTTATTGCTTATATATTCTTCCACCATAAAGCTCACCATTTAAGTAAATCACTTCAGTGTTGGTTTATAGATGACTCTAAAAAGGAGAGGTGCATTTTTTTTGTTTTGTTTTGTTGTTTTTTTAATTTTTTTTATTTTATTTTATTTTTTAATTACAGTGACTAGTGGCCAGGTATGCACAGTAACATTTGGAACAAGCAGAGACCTGTACTGCAGTTACTTGAGGGGGGAAATGTACCCGTTACCCCATGAGTAATGCAGCAATCCACGTGCCTTGCTGCTGAAGACCAGCTGGCTGCAGTGTGCTATCAGAGCTGCTTGCCAGCAGGCATGGCTCATTAAGAGCCTAGTTGCAGGGTATAACATCTTTGCAGTCAATTAACAATTCTGCTCTTTAAAAAGGTCCAGATCCTTCCTGATTCAGCAAAGCGCTTCAATACATGTTCAAAGTTAAATGCTTGATTAAAGTTTTGTGTAATAAAGATGTGAGGTCTTGTGCTTGAGGTTAAACAGATAGGCACATTCCCAAATCTGGGTTGGACATGTTATGGTTCTTAGAGGTTTCCAGGAATCTTGAATATCCTGAAATACTGACTATGCTGATTTCCAAGCTGACTGTAACCTACAGCTGAAAACCAAAACCATACCACTTCTAAAATCTGTATCTGGTCATCACTGATGCTTTTCTAGTCAAATAAATTCTAGCAGACTCTTCAAATTTTCATAACCGTAATATAAACAAATAAAAAGAAATTACACAACCCTCGTCTTCTGGAAATGGAGAAAAAAGTATATACATTTGATAAAATTAATTTATTATTTGAAGAAAGAAACAATAAGAGTAATTGAATTTTTATGCCCTTCCTGACTAATATTTCTCACTGGACAAGATTGTATTTTGTAGCCTGCTTCCTGTGGTCAAGTAAAGGGATGGGTATTAGGAGAAACAGAATCCAAGCTTTTGCCTTAGTGTTTTATATAACAATGAGTACTAATTTCCCACACTTATTTTCTGGTCTATGACATCTGCTCACTTATTGTAATACCCTACTGATAAATCATTGCAATAATAGGCAAATATCTTCGCTCCAGTTCAGTGGGTCAACAGAAGAATCAAAGATAATCTCTCACTGATTGTGAGTTGTTTATAAACAACAACTGTGCTGCTTGTGGATTGGGTCTAAACACCTTACTATGAGATCTAGGCTTGGTATTTTCTGTAATAGTATGTTGAATTGTCATAGCTCACTGCTTCATCTTCTACAATGCCTGATCTTTTTATTTCCCCACTGATAAAATGCAAAGTTCCAACTGACTGCAATGAGTGTAGATTCAAGCCCCAAATAATTTTAAATGCAACTTGTTGTGATTAATTGGTGAAGTATGCTATGAATGTGGATTGTTCCATTCTTCCTCCTATTTACTTAGTCCTGTTAGAGAACAAGTTGAAATAAGCTTTCGGGTGTATGTGACACTTTACTTGTGTGTTTTTAATTTTTGTTTTCACTTTGATTTGGATTGGAGTAATATTTTGGTTTTACTTTATTGTTTGAACCTGAAACTTAAAGCCAGACAGCCAAAACAAACACATTTCCTGTACAGAGACTGTCTAGAAGTAGCTGTAAGGTGGGCACAGCACCCTCCTGTTAAGGCACTGAGATGTCATCCATCCCCATGGAGCTAGTGCTAGCTGCCCTCAGACCTCTGGTCCTGGGGATAGTGTCTTCTGACAACCCAAATGGCAAGGCAAGAGTCAGATCCTAGGGGATCTTTCTTGGTTTCCACTCTCAGATACACTGGATCTGTTCATGGGTAGACTCTGAGGCTTCACGTTTCAGATATGCTGGGGAAATTTTGAATTTAGTTGGTGTACTGCTTGATCACCCCAGAGGTGCAAGCTCTGGAAGAAGTGAAATCCGAAGAGCTGGGGCAAATCCCACTTCAAGACCATCCCCCGAATTCCACATCCATCACAGCCCACCACAAATCTACACGAAAGTTCAGTGAGAGTCCTGCCTTTCTTTGTCTTGCCCCAAATTTTCATGTATCTCGGAGCGTTTTGGGTTCAGTGATGGGCATCTCTTTCAATGAAAACATTTGCAGCAAAATGTCCAGCCCCTCACAGTCTCCATCAGAAAATGGGCAAACTTTGGAAAAGTTTGGACTACATGTGAACTTTGACACTGACCAAATCTAAATAATTTTTCTCAGACTCTAACAAATGAGTTGAAGCAGGGATTTTGAGAAGATTGAACTTGTATCACAGTTTTATGGCTATCTCTAAAATATTTTATTGCTGGTTTATGACACCAGAATGTAAATAATGGGGCTTTTAAGAGTTGCAGTGTGAAGGTTTTATCCTTTCCTTATGTACAAAAGATAAGTACTACCATTTTGTTTTCAGTGAAATTGAATATGTATTTTTAAAACTGTTGCTTAGTGGGCTTTTTTTTTCTTTTTACCTTTTTTTTTTTTTAAGTGTAAATACTTTATTTTTATGGTACCGTGTAATTATTTTCAGTCAACTGATGTAGATTAAACAATTGAAAAGAAGGAGAGAAGAATGTGTTTTATATATGTAAATATCACTAGAATGCAAGTCGTGTGTGCAACACTATATGGATCAGAGATGAAATGTTTTCTATTAAATGAATTAATGGAGAAAAATATCTTTTGGAAACACAAGCCATTTCTCAGGTCTGAAGCAAACTTTATACAGTTTGTGTGTAAATGTAATAAATTGGCTTATACTATGCATGTGAAGGTACATACGTGCCTATGCAAATACAGTTCTAGAAACAGAACAACTACGGTATTGCCTAATTTTATTGACATTTTGTGGCCGTGTTCTCCATCTTTAGAATAGGAATTGTAACAAATGAAAATGTATAGTCTCCTACTACATTTTTAAAGCTAACTTAAAACTATGTAATTCAAGAAAAGTGTTATATTTTGGAGTCCAGTTTAAAGATCAGTTCCTTTTGGTTGTGACTTCATTGGGATTCACCAGTAGCTTACCCTGTTTTTTATCTCTTGAGGTTTATATCCAGTATTCCTTCAGATTTTGCCCCATCCTATGTTGAGATGACTCACCATCATCTCCTTCCACTATGCTGAGTGACAATGGGCAGAAAAATTGTTTTCATCTGCTCTTTCTAGTTAACAGTCTTGTTCCAGAAGACTTGCTCAGATAATTTTTTTCATAAGTTATGAAACAGTTATTTTATATCTGCGAACTCCATGCTATTCTCCAACCCCCACTTTGGCCCCCACCAATGTCCTTTCCGGGCTTTGGGAAAAATGCTGGTTTATGTTGTTGGGGTGAAACTGAGGTGTGAGTCTCCTGTTCTCCAAGACTGGAAGGACTGAGTGTCCACAGTGGTGTGGAATACATGTTTTTAATGGCTCTAAACTATTATTGTTCCAATCTCTTGTATGTAATGTCTTTATTCTCTTAGGAGAGGCAGATGGATCATTCTTTACCAGCTGCCAAGGCCAATACTGCTGTATAGCCCTTGCTCTCAGCAACGTCCTCAGTGTCCTGGTGATGGGGTGCCTTGTAAGGACTGCAGATCAAGCTTCGTACTACCTTTGCACTTCAGGCTCTCTGTGCTGTAAGTACACTGAATAATGTTGTGGCTACCACTTGGCATTTCCAAGTTGGTTAGCTAGGAGTGCTTTGGCTTAATATCTGGAAAATTTATTGTGATTTTGATGATTTTATGCTTTTTAGGTGGATGAAACTATATATCTGCCTCAAATAAATATGAAAGGTGTTTTTAGGTTGATTTATTAGTCCCTGTACTCAATATAAACTTCCATGATTGTAGGGTAAATGGATATTTTTCCTGTAGTGCATTACAAGCATGCTGTAAACAACACAAAACCTATACTGACAAGCAGCATCTGATAAAAGTAATTCTTTTGCTGCTGTGCCTAACAAGAAAAGGAGGAGATGCTTTTGCTTATTTGGAAGATCTGTTCCCTAGGATCTATAATATGTCTAGTGGTAACTCTGAATATACAGAGAGGGATGTGGAAGCAATGCTGTGTATAGAGGTGTACTTTTTCCAACTGTGAAAAAGATGTGTCTGCAACCTAACTGTACTGGCTTCAGCTGAAATAAACACTTTTGGGAAGGATTTGGCTGAATGTTTATTTTTGGTCTGGCAAAGGGGAAACTGACTGAGTGACTGTTATTACTCTGATGCCAATTACTGGAATTTACCAGCTTAAGGGCAATTTGCTGACTTTGTTTAAAAACAAAACTAGTCTTTCTGGGTCCAGATGTGATTTAGAAAGGGAGGAGTTGTAAACTACTTTTTTGTTTTCTTTCCTTTTTTTCCCCCTTTTTTTAAAAAACAAATATAAAATATTTTTTTAAAAAGGTTTCCTATCCAAAACCATTATCTGAATCCCACATGATGGGATTTAGGGAATTAACAGGATGATTCAGACACAAAATCTTCACATTCATGCCCACTCCTGAGAATTTTCCTTAAGGAATAAAACTTCTTTCCTGTACTTGGTCAGAAACAAAACCAAACCAAACCCTCTTCACCTTTTTTCTTTTTTTTTTTGTCTTTTTTTGGACTGGAAAGTAACACAACTAATAAATTTAACATTAAGCTGTATCACATGCTGTAGTCCAGTATAATCTCAAGATATGAGTGGTGTGATTTTAGCAGGCATTTGCAGCACTCCTCTCTGTGAGCTCTTGGCTGATATGTTGTTCCATCACTCCTTACCTTTTCTCTCCCCTGCTCCATATGGCACATGTGCCAGCAGGGTAAAGGGTGGTTCAAAGTATTGTCTTTTCATTTTTTTCCCTTAGGCAGTGGGACAGAAGATGCTGCAAGTGCTACCATGTGTATTGATTTGCATCTCTGTGAGAAGACAGACCAAGAGCAATGCCTGAACTCTGATCTTGAGTAATAAAAAGTTGAGATCTTGTAGCCCCACTGTTCTCTGGATGTAACTCTGGATCCCTTTTCCTATATGGGGAAGGGGAAGGTCACATAAGCTGCAGCAACTCTCTGCAGCAGGAATTCAGGGTGCTCAAATTGTGCTAAATTCCTGAGGTGTGCACCAGAAGGATTTTGTGATGGATCAGTTTCCCACTCCTTCTGCCTTTGTTGCTCCTTATCAAAACCAAACAAACTCAAACAAAATATATCCTTTCATTTAAACAGGAAATAAAGCAAGTTAGTGAAACTCAGTGATTGTCTATGCTGCAGTTTAGTTTAAATGCCCACTGGCACCTGTATTTTCCTGCTTTCTCCTTCATAGGATTGCTTTCCTTGGTTCTCCTTCTGCAGATTTGTTTTAAAAATTCCTCTGACATAACATTTAATATTTTCTAAACTTAGTCGGACTTTTTTTCCACCTTGGTAATACTTCCTCAATACCTAGAAACTTCTCCATCCATTCTCTTGATCCTTCTTTTCCTTCTTGATTCAGGAAATGTTGCTTAGCTTGCTCTGTGTATTATCAATATTACCTGGTCCACAGTTGAATCACGGAGTACCAAACTTACCTGGTGATTTCTTGATTTTCTTTTATAATGTATTTATATTTTTTTACCCCTAATATTTTTGTTCCATTATTTTTATTTTTGGGCTTTCTTGCCAAACTGAGGCCTTGTTGGTCAGTCTGTCTGATCTTTTTCTCCTCCATCTTAGTTCACAGAGTCTCTGTGGGCTTCTTTTAAAATTCACCTGAGTTCATTTGGTTGTTTCAAGCTTATCTGCTCTTCCAATCCTATTTCACATCTGCTTTTCTTACTGTGTTCATTTGGGGGCAGTCTGAAAACAGGAAGTTTACTAAATGTCTTGCAGCTTTTTCCCTTTCACTGTCACAGTTCTAGGCAACTAGATCAACAGCTGCATTACTTACTGTATTTTAAAGACATCCAACCTCAGAGGAGGATCAGAATGACCGCTTGCAGTATATTGCCTCTCACCACATGGCTTATGCCCGTTTTGCTATACCAGATGCTGCCAATGTCCTTGTCTCTGAGATGCTTCTGTAGTGCTGTGTCTCTCCTACCTTTCCTCTAGCTGATGTTTAGCTCCACATCCAGTTGTGTTTTTATTACACACAGAGATGGAAAGCTCAGTCATTCCTTTTCATTCTCCAGCTTCCTTTTGTTTTGTCTTAAATATATTCAAGGGGGAAACAGGAGGAGGGATGGAAAAGGAAGGGTTCAGTCTAGACTTCCAAAGCAATTTCCTTTTCCCTACAGAGCACAGCTCATTTCCTTCCAGAGCGATGTGGCTGGGAAGTTGCACATTTCTTCTCATCACTGACTTTCCTGAAATTTGTTGAGTCAAAGCACAGCTACTGGGCGGGATCCAGAGGACCATAAACAGGAGTATGTGAGTGTTCTTCCCTCTCACTGCCAAAGAGAAGAATAAACAAAGATTAATATAGAAAAGAGAGGGCGGTCTAGATAAGCAGCCACAGGGTGGAAATGTTGAAAAAAAATTTGACAAATATCCACAGGCACACCTGCACTTGGGCGTTTCTACATTGCGGGGCCTCACAGGGCTTAATTTTGCCATAAATGTCTCAAGGACAGAAAACTAAGCAATGTGGAAGCTGATGATTTTCCTTGAGGACAAATTACAAGGTTTTGCCTTTGGAAAAAAAAAAAGGTGATAGTTCATTGTTGTAACTTTATCTCTTCATATATTACATTTAGCTGAAGACAGGAAAGATTTGTTTTTTTCTTTAAAATGTGTTTATATTTACTGATTTTGAAAACTCTCATTTAGTACTGTTGCATCCTCTCTTAACATGTTTTTGTGTTTGCCTTAAGTCAAATTAATAAATTGGTTTAAGTCAAATTAAAACCTGGCTGAAAGAGTAGCATGGTCATGACTGAGCAACTTCCCTCCTCCAGAGAGTTCAGGATAGTCCGTGTGTAGATTTTTTCAGGTGAATTAAATTCAGTTTGGAAAGAAAATGTCTAGAGAAAAAAATGACATGATCATAATCTGCTGACTCCATGGAGTTTCTAATTTGGTTGGTTTCTTTATGTGTTCATTTACTTAAAAAAATGAGATTTCTTCTGTGTTGAGGTGTGTGAAGACATGAACAGGAAGATAAGCTGGAATCTGACTACGTGTTTGATGTAAGCTATTTATTTCATCCATTCCATTTGGCTTTTACTTAGCCAGAGAAATCACATGGTGTCTATTGTCCTGCCACCAGTAATTGCAGATTTGTGTCTGATTCACTGATACTTTTTTCTGAGTCTGAAAAAGCTCGTAACTAATTTCTTGTGCTAATTGTCAAAAAATGCACAATGAAACTTTAGAGAAGTAGTTCCAAACTACTAGGTATCACAGTGATGCAGAAACATGATCCTTTTTTAGCAGATGAATAGATGATGAAACTGCCTTTGCATTTTGTCTCAAAAATGGAAATTCGGCAAACTATAGGCAGAGGAGCTTTAAAAGGTCTCCTGCTTCTCAGACCCTTAGCCTTGAAATACCAACTACAGAAAACCTTTCTGGTATTAACCACAAGGCAAAACAACGCAGTGTTTGCTACTTTCCAGTTTAATGGCATTTTTTCATGTGAAGGAAAACACCCAGCTTAGGAAGAGGTTGTGTAGGGCTGGTGGGCACTGGTTACTACATTCACTCAATCATCCTTCACTTGATAGTGCCAAAATATTGAGGCCTCAAAATTTGTCATTGCTGTCTGGCATGGGAGACTTTATAAGGGCAGGAAAAAGATGTTATGATGTGAGATGTAATGCAAAGACCTGGTTATGGAGCTCACACTGCAAATTATAGACCTTTTTTGTGAGAGTAAAGGATACTGCTTCTTGCTTGCTTCAGCTATATTGCAGGTGGCCATACTTGTACAGGGAGGTACAACTTTTCCATTTGCAGAGGTACCTGTGTAGTGAAAAGATGTGTAGCTGGTAGGTGAAGATCCTTGGGTTAGTTATAACCTTATTATAATTAATCCGGTTGGATTGGAGTGGTTGGCTTAAGCTTTTGAGAGCTGTAGCTGGCAGGGAAATTACTGCTCTGTTAAAGCAAGTTCTGGCAGTGCCAGGTATTCAAAATGAAGTGGAGGTGGGCGATAAAAAGATCATCTGCCACTGAGCAATCACTATGGGTTTTTTTCCTTCCTAAAAAGTGTAACTCTGTATGGCTTGGATTTATTTTATTTATTTTTTTTTACCTGTTTGCTGTCTTCTGTCAGTGCAAAAGGCTGAATTTATTAGACCAGGTGAGGGTGAGAGGTAAAGGTGCTGCTTAGAGGACAATGGATACACAACAAATACAAATTATTTAGAAAATGTTACTTTTTTAACTATGATGCTGATATTATGCACTCTGACCAAGAGAAGAAACTGCAATAGTAGGTAAAACTTTTATCCTGCCAGAAACAGACAGGGCAGTATCTCAAGTTTTGGAGTAATTTTTTATCTCATTTTTCCAGATATACACTTTATTGGTACTTGGGGGACAGCAGGGAGAGGATGACTCTTCACACACAAATTGAGGTTAAGTGTGTTTGTTCGTGTAGTTGCTCGGTCTTGCATGAAGAACAGCAGTTCCAGATAAAAAACAGTTGTGTTCCTGGAAAGTCA